AAATTGTTTTTTTTTTCATCTGATGGGCCAAATGGAAACTAAGAAGATAAAACTTTTATACTGGCTAGGAAAAACATCTATGCTTGATAGTTAATTCATCCTGGAATAAAATTATTTTGGTAGAAGTTATTGTCTTTGTATAAAACAGAAGTGTTTAAACTGTTTTAGTTGGGTTTCTTTTGTAAAGACACCTCTGTCCAGTAATCTTGAGGATTACACTGGATTATTTCATTTCACTCGATGAAGAGGAAAGGAAAATATGTGGTTACATTATTTAACTTTATTTATTTAAGCTATTATTTAAGCTTTCCAAACCCTGAAGCTCAGAAATTAGTCTAAAAATTTTTGCTAGCTCTCTATTTTCCCGTAGGGAAGCGTTTCTAGCATCTTTGGCACTAAAGACAACTTTGTTTAAACTTGGAGCATCATCATTTAGTTGTATCTATCTTACTGTATAATTAATACAAAAGTGTTACTCACTCTTATTAACTTAAACAGTTCAAAGACTAGTCAAGAATTTTATTGTCTGTTTTTTTTTCAAATGCACATTTCTGTAAATGCCTTTAAGAATAGATCATATTTCTCTTGGTTTTTGCTAGCAAACTGGATTCCTCACAGATTTCAATCAGGCATAATAAAAATAAATCCAATTAAATTCAATAGTTTTTATGAAAATATTTGTTTAATATGTATTTATCAATGTTTATCACATTGATAAATACATATTAGCACAAATCTAAAATGACTGTACTTTGAACTTAGAGGACCACTAATACATTATTTTTAAAATTGTTATCTTTCATCCTCATGAAGCTCCTTTTAAGAAATATGTTTCATATTTCCAAAATTACCTAAGACCTTTCAGGCAATTCCCTTTAACACTAAACCCTCCACATCATCGCTGAATGTAAAGGCTCATTCAGATTTCATTTAGAATACAGGCCCATTAGCACACTAATAGAGACTTGACATAATCAAATCCAACCATCAGCGATTGGAGCTTAAATCAGGTCACTGCTTTTCCATCCATGAAATAAAGCAAGCTTTTTAAATTAACATGTTTGATCATTCACAGCACCATATTAATAATACAAGTAATACAGAGGCAGCTTGAAATGCACAAAGCTTCGGATCATCAGTCTAACCTCTTAATTAAAGCAGTAGGACTCAGCATGCATTAAAGCCTAGCTGGATCTGAACACTGAACTTATGTTTAATAATCACTTTCTAGCTGTATTTTTAGCCTGTACTAGAAGACAGGGAGCTGAAGTTGTACACAAGTTATTGAGGGCAGTCCTGAGAAAAAAGCTTAATTTTTTTACAAAGCAATGAAACATTTGTTGAATATGGAAAGGAATAAACTGCCATACCCTGAAGAGCAAAAACATGTAACAGAGGAGACACTAGAAGAGCACAACACACTTAATATTAATGTCATTCTGCAAATATATGCAATATTATGAATTAATATTTCCCTTGTAAAAAAAAAAAGTTATGCTAAAAAGCTTGACTTGATGATCTGCTGTAGTTTAATATGTACTCTCTCCTAAATCCACCTAAAAAAATATATATATTTTTTCTTTCTATCAGACATTAGATTTTCATTGTGATGATGAACATTGTTGTTTTCGGCCTTCTGAAGACATACATAAAAAAATGTTTCACAAATATTTCGTATGTTTTATAAAACATAAATAATTATTACGTTATCGTAATCCATAATAACCTGTCATAACTTAAATTATACAGAATGCATTGATTTTGTCCGAATTTATTTTAGTTATAGGGCATTCTTTTCCTACTTTACTGATAAATAATCACAACACTAAAAACAGAAGAACAACCAAAAAAAAAATCTCTCCACATTTACACCTAAGTAGACATATCTTCTTATTAAATATCAGTTTACTTTACTTAATTAATTATCTATCTATCTATCTATCTATCTATCTATCTATCTATCTATCTATCTATCTATCTATCTATCTATCTATCTATCTATCTATATATATATATATATATATATATATATATATATATATATATATATATATATATATATATATATATATATATATATTGACTTACATTTAGTGTAACTGGATGTACCTTGATAAATAATTACTTAATTACTGGGATGCCTTTAAGTTTTGGGATTTCCTCTTACCAAAAAAATAGATCTGCTGCAAAAGAAGAAGCACTGTGATGGCCTAACACCAATACATTACAGCACTTTATTTTACGATTAAATCAAATGTTTTGCTTAATAATTTTATACAAATGTCTTTAAATGTACAAAAGCTACCTGTAAGCACGAATGATATATTGTAGGACTCAGTAATAGATTAGATCAAATGAAACCTTTAAAAAAAAGCTGTTGCTGTACGACAGTTTAGTGAAGAGTATGGCCCTAATAAAATGTATCATTTTATGAGCAATTAATATCTGCAAAGGTATCATTAAAGGTTTCAACCACAACTCAGCCAAGGTCTGCGATGGGTAGGCATTATTGCTATTCATACTTAATGTCTGTTAACACATATTATACAAATAGAAAGGATTCATTCAGTATTAGCAATGCAAGTAATCACTTAATAATTAAATCTAATTAAATAATTTTATCGAATGACAGGTTGTTAAATGACAAGAAGTCATTTTCTACCAAAAGCAGCAAATCATTAAATCTAAAAAATTTACTGTGCAACTTCTATTAAAAACTAAATAAACAGGAAAAAAAAAAAAGATTTTTAACATTATTTACCTACACCAACAGCTAAACCTCACACGTGATCTGGATCATTGGCAAATTTAAGATGAACGGTTCTTTGGCATGAGGCACACCTGTGGTAAAGAATTTCCGAAAAATCGGTTCATAAGTTTCCAAGATATCCTGCAAACAAACCAATAACGTTTTCTTTTCTTGTCTTCAGTAAAATACCTCAGGGCTTTTTGACTCCAATGCTGTGGCTATCAATACTCACTGCTGCCATCCTCTGGTTTATCAGGGAGGAACTCCGCAAAAAAGGAAAACAGTGCATTATATTTAGATATTGTTGGTTGTTCTGGTGATTAAACTAAAAAACAAAGGCTTGTCTGATTTCTTATTGCATGTTTTTGTACTTTATTGAGATTGACAACTGCATTTACAGGTTTCTGGTAATTTTTGTAAACATTAAGGCTACTAAGATTTGACATTACTGCAACTGTCTTTTTGTGGGTATCATTATTGTTATTTTAATCCCCGTAATATTTTTACACATTTATTGTCCTACCTTTTATTTCCTATGAACTTTTACTCAGACTCTGGGTAATCATCAGTTCTTCTGGCTAAGTGGACTGTGCATACTCTAGCTGTAGAAGAGTGAAGCAGCAGTGCAGTCACAGGCTTACCATAAACTGTTGCTGATGCTCACTAATGTGGACAAGGTTCACAGGCAATGTTAACATCAGCAGCTAAGGAGACGTTAGACAGATTGACAGCTGCATTAGGGGTGGGAGGAGTATGCAGTATATACATCATCATACACATCATGAGATGTTATATGTATGATGTGCTGAAACATTAGTTTGAGATCCATCCATCCATCCATCCATCCATCCATCCATCCATCCATCCATCCATCCATGCATCCATCCATCCATCCATCCATCCATCCATCCATCCATCCATCCATCCATCCATCCATCCATCCATCCATCCATCCATCCATCCATCCATCCATCCATCCAGGAATAAATCTATTTCAGATATCAAAGACACCTATTCAGACGATCTAATAAATATCTAAATGGTCTGCCATAGCCATTTCTTATCACAAAAGCATTGCTTGGGAAAACTAGCCTACTGATTGAATAGTAGTGGATCAAAGTATCCAATCCAATCCAATCCAATCCACTTTGTTTATATAGCACGATTTAAATAAGCACAAGGTTTCCAAAGTGCTGCACAAAAAAGATAACATAACTAAAATAAATAAAAGTAAATAAAATTAAATAAAAGCACTGCCCGCACAGGATAAAGTAATAATTTTAGGTGGAATCCTATGGAATAGAAGCGCACCTGACAGCAGCTGACGATGAATTGTAAAAAAGTAGTTAACGCAGGTAGGACCTGTGCGTCTTTTTATGTGGTTCCTCCCCTTTTTATTTTCAGTCTTCCATTACACATTAAATACTATGTGGCTATCTGACTTTGCAGCTGTTTTGTATATTGCTCTTATCACATATCAATGTGCTCTCGCAGTTATGAATTACTTATACGTACCTGTTCTATACGCAGTCTGAGAACTCTCTACTTATAAATACTTAATTCTCTGTGAATGAATGCCGCTCATTCTTTAATTTGATCCTCGTCAAAAGGACATGCTATTTTTTTATTTTTCCATTTTGCATTAGGCACAATACATCAGCATATGAATTAATAGAAAAGTTCTAAAGACTTTGGAAGAGTTTTAACTTCCTACAAAAAATGGTTTGAGCCATATTCATAAATCACACTAGCATCAAGCGCCTGTTGTTTCAAAACATTAGTGCAGTAACCAAATAATTTTGGATAAAGATGGTAAATTATGGTATTATGCTATTTATTTAATTAACTGAAAGGAAAAGAACAGTTAGAACCTAAACTAGAATAAAAAAAATATAGAAAAAATAATAGAATGGGAATAAAACAAATTGACAAACCTAACCTGAGGCAACAGTTACTTAGACTCAGGCAGAATATCTGTCCAAAATATTAACTGAAACAATATTCAATCATAAAGTTGGTTTTATCTGCACTATTGCCATTTGTTAAACCCTCAATGCTTCCCTGGAGAGTTTATCCTAAATTATATAATTCATTTTAATTATAACAGATCTGCAGACGTTCTGTGGAAAATGAACAAGATCGACAAATATGGAATAAACTTCACCTAATTAACATTTAACATTTGCAACATTTGAAAAAAAAAATGATCAGGGTATAACCCATTATGTATCTCTGAGTATAATTGACTTACTGTTATGTTCCACATCAACATTTCCCATGACCATTACTGGGACTCCAAAGGCAGAAGCCAACAGCCAGACGCAGATGTTCACCACCTAATGAAAGGAAAACATGTGACAGTAAGAATTTAATTTAGATTCAGGGTTTTCCCCAAAGTTAAAAGATCTGAAACAGAGAAAATGCTTTTATGTAGAATTCCTAATGCATTGAGTTAGGGTAATTCATATTCCATCATCTTCTTTCATAACAGAATTTCCACAAACCTAGCCAGTATATACTGTATCTATCTATCTATCTATCTATCTATCTATCTATCTATCTATCTATCTATCTATCTATCTATCTATCTATCTATCTATCTATCTATCTATCTATCTATCTATCTATCTATCTATCTATCTATCTATCTATCTATCTATCTATCTATCTATCTATCTATCTATCTATCTATCTATCTATCTATCTATCTATCTATCTATCTATCTATCTATCTATCTATCTATCTATCTATCTATCTATCTATCTATCTATCTATCTATCTATCTACCCAAGGTTACACTGCATTTACAGATACATATACAAGACTTTGATACTCAATATGACAGTCATAAGGTAGAATCACCATGACGTCACACCATCCATCCATCCATCCATCCATCCATCCATCCATCCATCCATCCATCCATCCATCCATCCATCCATCCATCCATCCATCCATCCATCCATCCATCCATCCATCCATCAACTTCGCATTAGTTGCTGTAGCATTAGTTTTCCACTTCAGTGAACAGCAACACTCATTCTGTATTCTGGGTGTTGGATTCAAAGTCTCTGTATGTCTCAATATGTAAATGTGTTTCTTAATATTTTGTTGCGTTTTTCAACATTATTTCCACATTTTGCTGAGAGGTGCTAATGGCTTAGCTACAGCAGGGACCTTCCTTTTAACCCCCTGCACAAATGCCCAGTGTTAATATAAATATACAGAAAGGACTTTATTTACTAACAAACTGTACATAATTAAAGCTTGAAAAATAAAAATAGCAAATAATACACCAGCAGGACTTCATAATATAAAAAAAGAAAACCAGACCAAAGTGAGTTGGTGGCATATTTAAAAAAATAAATAAATAAATAAATGAATAATGTGACTGCTCCTTTAACTGGGTTTTACCTTAGCTTTGTGTGGTGTCCTCATATCCAGTGCTTTGACAGGGTGGCAGACGGCCACGTATCTGTCCATACTCATCACTGTCAGAGTGAAGGTGCTGGTGAACATGTTGTAGTAGTCGATGGACACCACAGTCTTGCAGAGAGCATTGCCAAAGGGCCAAAATCCCAGGAAGACATCGGTGCCCTGGAAATATCCACAGATATTTAAGAATAGAAAATGCACTTTTAGAATTATTAAGTAATAAAAAAAATTAAAAAGGAAAACTAAATATAGCTTTAAATAAATTATTTGAGACTTGGAGTAGAGCAGCGGACATTGTTACTTTAAATTGATGGGTAAAATTAGAATAATTTGACACGTCGATCACTAGCGAGTTAAAAAAAAGGTGAACAATTCTGAAATATGGACATTTTTTTGGAGAAAATGTTAATATAAATTTACAACAATAGAAGTATATTGTATTACATTATAGTTATTTTATGGCATGTCCATTGAAAAAAATCACTAAAAACAAACGAACTAACACACCAAATCAGATGAAAAACCAAGTTAATACCCTGACTAGTTTTGGATTTTGGATTTATGAAGGTGATTCCAGACTGAATCTGCCTACAGTCAACAGCTGTCAGTCACAAGCTGCAAATGTGTAGCGCAACACAATATAAATAGCTATACAGCTCTATAAAACAGAATTGGAAAACATTCAGAGCTGCAGCAATTAGTTTTCTAAGCCTGAATCATACAAAAAGACAAGTTGATGCTGTTCTGGTAGAGCAAATATGCCTCTTCATGGGTTCTTCAGATCTGTTCCATGAATTACATCTAAAATAAACCTAGGTATGCATTTCCTGGTAAGTTTATTAGTGATCTTTGAACAGTTGCCTGTCGATGCAAACAGCAAATCAAAAGGTCATGGCAGCAACTCAATACATTTAGGCATCTGGATGTGGTGGAGAAGACTTGCTTAATGTCACTTTAAATGTGGCATGGTTGTTTGTCCAAGATTAGCTGAATTGCTGATTCACTAGATTTTTACACAGCTCCATCCCTCTGATTTAGAGAATAGTTTGAAACAGCAATAAAGTCCAGTGAGCAAAGATCATTTAGGTAAAAACAGACTTTTGACAAACTAACAGGGTGTATTTTAAGATTGGAGATAAGAGGATCCAGCTTTGTTAACTCAATAATGTGTCACCCCCCCATTATGTGATTTGTTTAAGCAGTCTGTTAAAGGCGATGATTTTCTCAGTTGATGCACTTGAAAGAGGAACAGCAACCTTATGGTACATAAGATGTAACTTAAGGAACAGCTTTACTGTTAGCTTTTCAGGCTCTCTGAAAGCTAAAGCAGCAAGTCCTGAAAAAGTTTTGTTTATAATTCAGCCCTATTATCATATAGTTTATGCAAGCACGAGAAGAGGAGAGAATAAAACAGATGTAAATAAGGTGGGAAAAGGTCAGGCTGCTAATGCTACATGCCGAGATTAGCATTATGACAAGTAATTCTGTTGGTTTTATTATAAAGGAAAATCCCAGTGTTAGCATAGTTGATAACTTAGAAAACTAAAAGATGTGCTCTATAAATAATATTTGAGTTAATTTCAACTTATTTATCCTTGACTGCAAGCTTGTTTTTTTATACGAGTGAGCTTATAAAACACTGTGAGGTTATTACCAAGGTGTCCCAATGTTTCTATAGGAATGAAGATTCAAACATAGCTAATTACAATAATTTGTTTTAGGGTTAAAAATCAATCCATTTTATTGCAAGAAAAAGTCTTACCTGGAAAGGTAGAGTAGCGAGGAACAAAGAGTCAGCCAGAGCCAGGTTAAAGATGTAGATGTTAGTAGCTGTTTTCATCTTTGTGTATCTGAGGAGAGAGGACACACAGTAACACACGGTCAGTCATATTATAACCAAGGTCCGGGAAGCTTTTTCAGTTCAAACTGTCAGAAATACTGTTCAGTTCAAGGCTTTATAGATTGGAACAAAGCAAAGGGTTGTTTTGGCTTAGAAACATGCAAATTGAACCTGACGAGTGGGTCCTGCCCCTTGGGAATAGGGTCAATTTGTTTCTTTGTTAGCCTTTAATACCCAAAACCTGTCTATGTCTCTGTAAGGGGGGTCGTTAAAGGGAATTATTGGCCTGGCAAGGTTCAATTTGCATATTTCTAAGCCAAAACAAGGCTTTGCTTTCGTCCACTCTATTAAGCCTTGAACTCAACGCTATTTCTGACATTTTGAATTGAAAAAGTTTCCTGGATGGGAAGCAAAATGTCTTCAAACTTTGAAAAAGAAGTCCAGTGGATTTTTTTTTTACTTTTTTGGAATTGCTATGACCTGGATGACTGAGAATCTTCACCAGCAATTTCCACCTACTGTCACAAGCATGAATTAGACTACCAGAACTGGAACTGTTATAAGTAATTTCTAAATTTCTTAGTTTGTGATGGAACTGTAGTAACTGTAATTTTAAACAGTTTGCAGCCAACTTAAAATGTCTGTATAAAACGCTAAGATTTAGCTGTCTTACTTTACTGCATATGCAAAATAACCCTAAGAGCAATACATGCATTGATGCAGCTATACTGATTTTGAGCCTTGTGACGGGGCTTATGAATGTGTATGAATGTTGTTTTTGTCTCTGGATCCAGCTGACAAATACATTTAATACATTTTAGATGTGTCTAAAAGGTGCAGTATGTCATGAGGACACTCTATTTGCTCCTGTAGAAAAAGGTTTGATGTGTGTTATGTTATCTGCTGAAAACTTTGGCATTGATTAAATGTCTGCCAAGGGGAACCACATGTTGACACAGGTCATGCAAAATGTATTGCAGTCTTAAATAAATGGCTCAGCATGGTGAGTATGCAAAACAAATCATCAGATCAACAGGGAACATCTTCAGTCCTGAAATTAACCATCTTCAAATGGCCACACACCTAAATGCAAAAGAAACCTGTGGAATGAGCTCAAGAACGGATGCCATAACAATAAAACATTAAACTTTGGACAATCTACTGCCACTGTTCAAACATTAATATAGTCTAAAGATCCCGACAACCTTGAGAGATTTTAAAGGAACAAGAAGAAGACAATATTGTGCAATGACAGCACCAGATGTTCAAGAAAAAATGAACCTCAATTTTCAATTGAAGTAACTGACACTGCCAGCTCCTAGATACAACACCAAATGACTCTTTGAAACCTGTTCTACTGGGAAGCACCAACAGTCCTGGTAAGACCGTGCCATGCTGGAGTTCAGTAATCTGTCTTGTCCCGGGGCACCACTGTGTGATTCATCTAATATGCATTAAAGGTGACAACTGATGATGCTTAATTATTGACGTAAACTGCAGTGCTCCTCTGCAGTCCCCTGAGAAAAAGCCAACCTGCTGGAAAAAGTAGGAGGGTTTGTGAAAAACAATAATTTTAATTTAAATCTGTTTCCCTAAACATGTAAATGTACCGACAAAAAAGTTTAGATTAGATTGCTACAATGAAATACAGAATTAATCCTAAGTGGTTTTGAGCATATTAACCAGGGATGCCACTAAAGGGGAGATTGATGCAGGTGCAACACTACAAGAGTCATCATGGTCCCAAAAGCTGTCATGGTGTTTTGCCCTGCAACCACACAAAAGCATTTAGCTCTCAGCAGCAATACAAAAATTTATTTAATGACTAAATCTCTGCTAGTTAAATGTGCCACAGACAAACCATAATAACAATAGCCAAAGTCTTCAAAATGACCTTTGTGGTTAAATTTTTCCCCAGTCGTTGTGTGTTCAAGCAGCTTTCAAGATGGCTTGAAAAAACACTAAGATACAATGAGATGGTGAAACAGTAGATCTGTTATGCAATGAATTTCTAAAGCAGAAATCTGGTAGGATCCAACATCTGCCCTAAATAAAACCTCACTTAAAATGCTTCAGAGCAGAAAGCATTCAGTCTTTTTTCTCAGCCTCTGTAAAATCTCCTGTTCCAAAAATCTTCTTAAGCTTCTCTTCTGTGTTGCCTCCAGCTGTTCATCTCACCAGTTTTCTACTTTCCTTCAGCCTCTTCTCATATTATCCCTATAATTTTCCTTACTGACTGATATTGCTCTGTACAATATCTGTTCTTGGGTTTCTATGACTAGTAAAGACTGATTTTTCTTATCACTTTTGAATTTATTTGAGATTTAGGTAGAGATGTTGAAATTATTGCTTTCTCGTTCTCATACAAACCCTTTCTAGTTCTATATACTAGGTCTGCTAAAATAAAAAACATATTTTTTTTCTCATTAATGTACACTCAGCACCCCATTTTGACAGAAAAAAAACAGAAATGTAGAATTATTAGCAAATTTATTAAAAAAGAAAAACTAAAACATCAAAAGGTCATAAGTAATTAGACCCTTTGCTGTTATTTAACTCACATGATGTCCATTTCATGTGATCTGTGTTGAGATGGCTCTGCTCCTTTATTGGAGTCCAACTGTGTTTATTTAAACTTGTTGAACTTGATTAGGAAAGGCACACACCTCTCTATATAAGACCTTAAAGCTCATGGTGCATGTCAGAGCAAATGAGAATCATGAGGTCAAAGGAACAGCTCAAAGAGCTCAGGGACAGAATTGTTGCAATGCATAGATCTGACCAAGGTTACAAAAGACTTTCCGCAGCACTCAAGGTTCCTAAGAGCACAGTGGCCTCCATAATCCTAAAATGGAAGACGTTTGGGATGACCAGAACTCTTCCTAGACCTGGCTGTCCAGCAAAACTGAGCAGTCGTGGGAGAAGAGCCTTGGTGAGACAGGTAAAGAAGAACCAAAGATCACTGTGACTGAGCTCCAAAGATGCAGATGGGAATAAGTTCCAAAAAGTCAACTATTACTGCAGCCCTGAACCAGTTGGGGCTTTACAGCAGAGTGGCCCGACGGAGGCCTCTCCTCAGTGCAAGACTCTCAGACTATGAGAAAGAAGATTCTCTGGTAAGATGAGACCAAGACAGTTTTTTTTTTGGTGTTATTTCTAAGCGGTGTTTGTGGGAAAAACCAGGGACTCCTCATCACCTGCCCAATACAATCCCAGCAGTGAAACATGGGGGTGGCAGCATTATGCTATGGGGGTGTTTTTCATCTGCAGGGATATGATGACTGGTTGCAATTGAAGGAAAGATAAATGTACAGAGTACAGAGATATCCTGAAAGAAAACATCCAGACTGTTTAGAAACTCAGACTTTGATAAACTTTATTGTCATTTTGTACACAGAGGGTGTACACAATATAACATTTAATTCAGTACAGATCTCAGGACATTTCCACTCCTTAACTCCAACATTCAGCGCTATTGTTTTTTTTTTCTCCTTTTAATCAACATTACGCAGTCTAATTACAGCGGGGAAGATTCTGTTTTGAAATCTGCTGGACCTGCATCAGATGCTTCGAAGCATCTTCCCAGAGGCAGCAGGCAAAACAGTACCTGTTGGGGGTGTGAGGGGTCATTTATAATGTTACGGGCTCAGCGCTGGGATGAAATGTCTTTTATGGAGGTAACAGGAGCCTCGATAAACTTCTCTGAAATTCTCACTACTCTCCTCACATTCTTCCAGTCTGTGGCGCTGCAGCTTCTAAAGACTGGGCGGAAGGTTCTCCTTCCAACAAAACAATGACCCTAAGCGCACAACTAAAATAACAAAGGAGTGGCTTGGAAACAGCTCTGTGACCATTCTTGACTGGCTGAGCCAGAGCCCTGATCTAAACCCAATTAAACATCTCTGGAGAGACCTGAAAATGACTATCCACCAACGCTCACATTCCAACCTGAAAGAACTGGAGAGGATCTGCAAGGAAAACTGTTATAGGATCCCCAAATCCAGGTGTGAAAAACTTGCATAATTCCCAAGAAGACTCATTGCTGTACTAGTTCAAAAGGGTGCTTCTACTTAATACTGAGCAAAGGGTCTGAATACTTACGACAATGTGATATTTCAGTTTTTCTTTTTTTTAATACATTTGCAAAGATTTATACATTTTTGTTTTATTTTTGTCAAGATGGGGTGCTGAGAGTAAATTAATGAGAAAGAAAATTAACTTTTTTGATTTTAGCAAATGGTTTCAATGAAACAAAGAGTTAAAAATGTAAAGCTGTCTGAATGCTTTCCATACGAACTGTATTTACCTCTAACTCAAAGTTTATTTTTCTTATAAAATGTCTTTCCATCAATTTTTGCCGCATGCAATGTTTGTGAAGTTTTTTTTCTTACTTTCCTTGCTTGAATCTTTCACTTCCTACTTCTTAAATTAATTTAAATTCTATTTTTATTACTTATCTTTCATTTTCGCATAATCCCTTATAAGCTGTTTCCTTCTAGAGTTTACCCCTCTCTCTGCTTTGAGATCTTTTCTTTTCTCAGTAGCTGCACATTTCTCCCTCCTTCTTTCTGCAGGATGAAGACTTGCAGCCCTACTCTGTGTCTTCATAGAGAATTTGTCAGCCCTGTTGAGCAACCCTCCCCCTTTTATACATAAGGGACTGCGTTTACTCAACCAAAAACGTCCAAGTCTGTTCTATCTCCAGATCATCCTGACTTTCCTGTCTATTAACATTACTCCTGTCTTTGTTATTTTGTCCCTGTGGTTTCAGTACAATTTTCCTCTATTTTTCCCCTATTTTTGTTTCTATATCTTCTGTGTTTTTAGAGCATTTTTTGTTATATATTGAAGGATAAGGATGTTTGTAAGGATACACTTCGCTCAGAGCCAGCTGCTGTTCTCTTAAATAGGGGACGCTCAATGGTGCTGATTCAATCCAAATGTAATGTTTTGCATTTACAAACGTTGAAATACATAAAACTAATTACTAAATAGCCTGTTGTGAAGCTC